GCAACACTCCCTAATGTTAACGCAATGCTGACTGGGATACCTCTCGATGAAAATAAAAAAATAACGGTAAGTGCTACAGTAGATTTTTAATCGAAATGTCCCACGATTATATTTTCAACGTTACCTCTAGATCTTGTAGTACTGCTTTGCCAGAAATATTGAAGCGACACTGTCCTAYAAGGTACTTGAAACGCATAGCGCGGTGCCAACCGTTGGAATATTCAAATCTAATTTCCATCTTATTTCCTTATTTGGAACAATAACATTCGTTTTCGAATTTTTAATGAGCTTTGAATATTCTGACGCTTGGTACTAAACAAATGTACGGGCGCTACAAGTTTCAAGTCCCTTATAGGTTTCTGGTTCCATATTTTTGGACTATTATATCCGAAAATTTGTTAGGCATTGATTCGACAAATAAAGTTCACCTATTTCAAAGAGTTCCACTGCAAGGGTAGGGTCTTCMGGAACCMCTCAAACCCCCCTGCTSACGCCCCTATTTTTCATTACTTGAGTCTTGGCAGGACATAGGCGTAGTCGGGTAAGAAACATGTTGGCATCTAAACCTTGACATGCTGTAGCGGCTAGGTAAAAAGAGGTTTGTTCATCTCCATTCATAAGTCCTGCCAGCGAGTTCTGTTTTTTTGCCGTTTAGCCTCCATAGGCTCGTCCACTCTTTGGCTAAGTTTTGTTTTTAATCCTGGACCGGCTTGTTCAGAGCTGCATTAGCGCTTATCCTGGGTTAAATCTTAAAAAGGTATGGAGTTAAACCTAGATTAACGCTAATCGACCTTTGAACAACCGAACAYTGYGGTGTGACATTACCTATCCATGCATTAAACAGAAAATTTGGCATGTGCGTTCTCGATCTCGCATCCAAATTTGGACCAAARACACTTTCTGATCTTTYTGATTATGTTCTTCAATGTTTKCTAAACTTAGGATTTAGATGAGTGGCCATTGATATACAAGGACGTGAAAAAGCTTGGTTTYGCTACGCTGTATAGCGAGGATGACCCTAGTATAGGTAAGAGGTTTCATCAGTGATAAAGAGAAATTAAGTAATGGTCCGAGTAAGAAGCAGGCAAGCAAACGGCAATGGAATGCATGAAGGTGCTAATTGTGTATTKTATAATCCATCCATCCCATTGGTTYAAACAAGAAAATCTGCTATAATTTCAAAAGTAAGCGCATTTTCTAATATTTTATYTAATATCTGATTCCGACTTCATRAAAGCTTTCTTTAGCTWYAATATYAAGGCAATTCTAYGTGGGGAACATAGCAAATTAGAAGCATTTTTTGGCTATTGTTTTGAGTGCTTATGATTGGACAAGATCTTTTAATACAAAAGAAACTTTTTTTCAAAACA